CTTCTATCCTCCCTAGTCATTGTCCAACTCTCTGATGCATAACAAGTGATTGCAAAAACCATGGCCTGTATCAGGCGGACCTTAGTCTCCGGAGAGACACTGTTGCTCTTCAATATTTTGGAGAGGTCCCTAACTGCAGACTTTCCCATCGCAATTTTGGTAAATAGAATAGTTAATATTCTGTCCTTATAGACCTCTCAATTGTATTTGTGAGAATGAGTATTTCTCAATTCTGGAAGCATTACTTTTCTAGAATTCTAGCATGTCAGACTTCACCTGCTTTCCCCCAGCTGCCCAACCACCCCCACCACCACCAGTGGCCACTTCTCAATTTCCTTCATTTTTTCTTCTCAGGATTCTAAATTTTGTTGTGCCTACTCATCTTAAAAAGACATTATATACCACATCATCACAAAAAAGTAAAAATTTAGCATATCATATTGATTTATAATTTTTTCCTAATTATTTTTTTCAGTCATTATCCAAGCTCCAACTGATACAACCAAAATACAAGAAGTTTTATTTTGGCAATTAAAAAAATACTTATTTCAGTTATATAATTTTATGTGCCAAATTATTTTCTTATTTTCAAATGTATAATGTACAATGTGTCTTAGATAATGTCTTCATCTCACATACTTTGGGCATGTTGTTAAGACAGACCAGTCCTTGGAGAAGAACATCACGCTTGGAAAGGTAAAGGATCAGTAAAGGAGGAGAAGACCCTTAATGAGATGGATTGGCCCAGTGACTGTTATGGTGGACTCCAGCATGTCAGAGATCATCAGAATGGCACAGGATAAGGCAGGGTTCAGATCCTGTTAATACAGTTGCTATGAGTCGTAGTCAATTTGATGTGACTTAATAAAAACAACAATGCCAGTTATGTAATTTTAAAATCAAAAGATGAATTGCATTGGGAAAATCTGCTGTCAGGGACCTCTCTAGAGCACTGAGAAGCAACAATGTCAGTCTAGAGACTAACGTGTGCCTGATCCAGGCCATGGTCTTTTCAATTACTTGCTATGTATCCAAGAGCTAGATAATGACTAAAGACTACAGAAGAATCAATGCTTTTGAATCGTGTTGCTAGAGAAGAGTCTTGAACATACCATGGACTGTCAAGAACACAAACAGGTCTGTCTTGGAGAGGATGAAACCACATTTCTCCTTGGAAGCTAGGATTCTGAAGCTCCGTCTCACAAACTTTGGGCACATGGCCAGGAGAGACCAGTCTTTGGAGAAGGACATCATGCTCAGAAGGAGGGACAGTACAGGAGAGGAAGACCCTGGATTAAGATGTATTGCTACAGTAACTGGGTCAATAGGGGTTGGTGTGACAGAATTAATGAGACTGGTTCAGGACAGGGCAGGTTTCAGACCTGCTGCACATAGGATCTCTGTAGGTCACAGGCGACTTGGTGGCAGATAACAACAATTTTAAAAAAATACATTTTTTTTTCTTTTTTTGGCCTTTTTTTTGTTTTTCAGTTTACACGGAATTCCTTGGTTTCAGGTGATTTGTTGCCATTTCCCATTTAACTGTGATCCTGGTCGGAACTTTCTTGAGTTGCAGAGTTTCTTGCCCATCCTCTTCATAGCACCCTTAACCTCCTGGTTCCTCAGGCTGTAGATTAGTGGATTTAACATAGGGGTCACTACTGTGTAGAAAATGGCAACCTGGCGGTCCTGGTTCAGATCATAGCTAGAGGATGGTCGGAGGTACATGCGGATCACAGATCCATACAGGAGGAGCACAACCAGAATATGAGAGCTGCAGGTTGACAAGGCTTTGCGCAGCGCAGCGACAGAGTGCAGGCGGGCGATAGCAATACCAATGCGAGCATAGGAAGCCAAGATGAAGAAAAAGGGACTGAGCACCACTGCCACACCCTCCGTGAAGATTAGCATCTCATTGACTATTGGCCGGGTGCAGGAGAGCTGCAGCAGGGGCGTGATATCACAGAAGAAGTGGGTGACCTGGTTGTCGCAGAAAGTTAAGCGCGTGACCAGCACACTGTAAAGGAGACTGTTGAGGGTGACAACTACCCATGAAGTCAAGGTTATGCGCAGACAAAGGAGGCGGCTAACAATGGAAGAGTATCTTAAAGGGTCACAAATGGCAACATAGCGGTCATAGGCCATGGCAGCCAGCAAGTGGCCTTCCATGCTGCCCACAGTCATGAAGAAAAACAATTGAACCATGCAGCGGTTATAGGAGATAGTTCTATCGATGGAGAGTGTGTGCACGAGCATCTGAGGCACAGTAATTGTTGTCAGAAAGATGTCAATGAAGGAAAGCTGACTTAGAAGGAAATACATAGGTGTCTGAAGCTTGATGTCTGAGTGAGCAACAATTATTAATAGGGCATTCCCAATAAATGCCACCAGGTACATGGCAAGAACAATTCCAAAAATAACTGGTTGCATTGCTGGCCAGCTGGACAGGCCCAATAAGATAAATTCAGTAACTTTTGTCCTGTTTCTCATGATCAGAAAGAATCCACATCACCTGCCAAGAAGAATATTAAGATCAAATCATGTTACAATTTAGTTCAAGGGTAATTTAACATGAAATATCTGGGGGTTTGGTACAAATAATCTTTGCCTAAAAAGAATTTTATTTTTTTTTTTTTTACTCTCTCTCCCTTGTCATTATCCATTGTCTAGTAATCCATTCACCCACCCACTCCTTCATTTATTCCACATTTGTTTATGTACCACTTAAATAAAAGCCATTGATATTGAATCAACTCTTACTCATGGCAGCACCATATTTGCCAGTGTGGAGATGTGTTCTATAGGTTTTCAGTGGCTGATTTTTGCAGCAGTAGCTCACCTATCATTCTTCTGTGGTGCCCCTTCATGGACTCAAACCTCCAGTCTTTCAGTCAACAGTTGAATATATTGACAGATTGTACTACCCAGGTGGCCTATTTAATGGTTGTTGTTGTTGTTAAGTGCCAAGGAGGAGTCGCAGGCAACTCATAGAGACCCTATGAAGGAGAGTCCTCAAAGCTTGGGTGCCTTTCATCCACTCTCCAGGTTCATAGGGTTTCCGGAGGCAAGCTATTATGGAAGTGGATGCCACTCCTCCTTCCAAGCTTGTTTTAATCGGGGAGCTCCACTCCACTCTCTGTCCGCATTGGGTAGCCAACCATTAACATATTTGACACATTTAATGTTTACAACCCTCAATTTAAAAAAAATTAAAACGTCTAATTCATTGTTGCTGAGTCATTATCAACTGCAGTGCATCTTCTTACTACTTAATGTAGGTAGGAATCACTTAATGTGATTTCTAAGATTCACTTGTTACTAAGATGCATATCATTTTAAGCTGAAGGATTTTATTGTATCATGTCTTTGATTATTTATTGCCTCTATATCTTCTCTTCCATTTCTTCTGGAAGAGCTGCTGATGGAATGTAACATTAATTTAATATTAATTACATTAAATTTCTGGAAGAACCATTCTAATGATAAACTTGTTTGATAAAGTGTTAGAATAAATTCCCTCAGCTGGCAAAGCACCCAAAATGCAAATGAGAAAGAGTTGCCTCCTCAAAGTAGAATCCACCTTAATGACATGGTTGGAGCAAAGCTTTCACCTAATAAAAGATCCTCATTTGCTGATGTGGCAAAACTCAAAACAAGAGTTTCAAACATCCATTAACAATTGGAATGCAGGGTGTATCTACATAGTTAGATGCCTTTGCATAGTCAACAAAACACAAACATTCTTCTGGAATTCTCCGCTTTCAGTCAAGCTCCTTTGACATTAGCAATGATATCCCTGGGGCCATGACTTCTTCTAAACTCAGGCTTAACTTCTGGCAATTCTCTGTCATTGTATTGTTCAGCTATTTTGGTTAATCTTCAGCACTATTTTGTTTGTATATGATGTTAATTATATTGTTAGATAATTTTCACATCCTGCTGGATTGACTTTGCTATGTTTTAGCATCCCATAGTAAGATGCTAATAGTCAATTACATGAGAAAATGAAATACAAAATATGATCTGGTCAGATGAGTTCTGGATGACATCATGTATGAAAAATGAAAATGAAAAAGATAGGAAAGAAGAAAAAAAATACCAAATGGATGTCAGAAAAGACTCTGCAACTTGATCTTGAATATATAGAGACTAAACTGAAAGGAAGAAATTATGAAATAAGAGAGTTAAATAGAAGGTTGATTTCAAAGGGCAGCTCAAAAAGACAAAATATTATAAAGAAAGGTTCAGCTAGAAAGCCAAATGAGAAGACTATGTTTGCTATTTCTCAGGCTGAAAGAATTGAAAGGAAAAACAAAATCAAGCATCAAGTTGCAATACAGATGTGCAAAATGTTGAATAACACAGGGAGCATTAATAGTGATGGGTGACTGAAATGCAAAAGTTGGGAACAGAGAAGAAGGATCAGTAGTTGGAAAGCATGGACTTGGTGACAGAAATGAAGCTGGAGATAGGACGATAGAATTTTGCACAATCAACAATTTATTTGTTGCAAACACATTTTACAAGAAATATAAACTTAGGCTGTGCACATGGATTTCACCTGATGGTATGCATAGGAGCCAGATAGATTACATTTGTGGAAAGAATCTCTGGAGAAGCTCAATACTAGCTGTGAAAACTAGGCCTGGTGCTGATTGTGGAACAGATCGTCAACTATTCATATGCAAGGTTAAGCTAAGGGAAGTGAAATCAAGCCCACAGGACCAAAATATGACCTTGAGTCTATCCCACTTCAATTTCAGAATCATCTCAGGAACAGATTTGAGGCCTTGAACACTAATGAACCAAGACCAGATGAGTTATGGGAAAATACCAAGAATATCATCCAGGAAGAGTGCAAAAATCGTTGCAAAGATGGAGGAAGAAAAAAAGACCAAAATGGATCTCAGAAGAGACTCTGAATATTGCACTGGAGTGTAGAGAAGCCAAAGCAGAAGGAAGAAATCAAGACATTAAGGAGATGAACAGGAGATTTGTAAGGGCTGTGCCATAAGACAAAGTATTATAATGAAATGTATAAAGAGTTGGAGTCAGAAAATCAAAGGGCCCAAATTCACTCAGGATTTCTTAAGCTCAAGGAACTGAAGAGGAAATTCAAGCCTTGAGTTGCAATACTTAAAGATGCTTTGGGCAGAATATTGAGTGATTCTGCAATTATTAAAAGAAGATGGAAAGAGTATACAGAGTCATTATACCAAAAGGAATTGGCAGACATAGAAGAATTTAATGAAACAACATATGACCAAGAGCCTATGGTGATGAAGGAAGAAGTTCAGACTGCTTTGAGAGAATTAGCTAAGAATAAGGCCCCAGGAATTGATGATACACCAATTGGCATATTTCAACTAACAGATGCTGCCCTAGATGTGCTCACCAAGTGGTGGCAAAAAATCTGGAGGACAACTACTAGGTCAACTGAGGAGATCTATATTTGTTCCATTCCAAAGAAAGGTGATCCCACAGAGTGTAGAAACTTTCAAACAATATCAATAATATTACATGTGAGCAAGATTCTGCTGGAGATTATCCTAAAATGACTGGAATAGCACATCAACAGAGAACTACCAGAAGTGCAGGCTGGGTTTAGAAGAAGTTGTGGTACCAGGAATATTGTAGCTAATGTTAGGTGAATTTTGGCTGAAAACAAAGAGTACCAGAAGAATGTCTATCTTTGTTTCATTGATTAAGCAAAGGCATTTAACTGTGTGGATCATAACAAACTGTG